TTGAAGCTCATTTCTTGCCAAACTGTAACTACAATTCATGATAACTCCCTTTTATTATATTGTTTTTCCAAGAAGTTTCTATAATTTTAAATGGTCAGTATAATCAAAGCTCTTTCTATCACTAATAAATTATATATAACTTCTTCCTGATATTCATTGACTTTCTCAGTTATCCAGTATGTCTCAACTATAATGTGTCTTGTTCTAAGCCTAGCCTGAACACTTGGCATTCCCCTTTCCATGTAAGGATCTAATTTGCATTGAAAGATTGGTACAATGTTGGAAGACCCAAAGGGCCAAATCTTACCAGGGAAGATCTAAGTAGTCGCTCAACCTTAATGCCAATTTGATGGCACACAATCAAACAAATGATCAACCAGTCAATCAATCAGTCAGCCATTATCCGTGGTCCAAGTAGAAACCCACAACATTATCTAGCTTTGCACTACTTTTGGCTGTACTATGCAGGTAAAGATATAACAAGTATGGAAATAATGAATATTAAAAGAAAACTAAAAAGATTTCTTGAGAGTGATGCAAAATTCACATACTGCTACTCAAAATGTTGAGAGTTGAATTAAGACACAGTCTTAAGGACCAGCATGTTAATGGTGGGTCAAATCAGTCACTAATTCAAAAAGTCCTCCCTTTCTAATTAAGCATGGTGGTTGGAGAAGATGTAACAACAGGACAGATGTCACATTCCGGCATTCACGTTACATACAAACAGAGATTCAGTTTGGTGAAAAACTTTTATCTCTAAGAAACTACGTGATAACCAGCACTAAATGACAATGATACAAAGGTAATCAAATCCAAGTCAGTTCTAACCAAGTTAACACCAGCGCGCGTGCGCGCGCGCACACACACACACACATACATACATACATACATACAGTATGCCAAGGTGGCTCAGTGGTTAAAAGCAGCACTGCAGGCTACTGCTAGATCAGCAGGTCAGCGGTTCAAATCTCACCGGCTCAGGGTTGACTCAGCCTTCCATCCTTCCGAGGTGGGTAAAATGAGGACCCAGATTGTTGGGGGCAATATGCTGACTCTCTGTAAACCGCTTAGAGAGGCCTGAAAGGCCTATGAAGCGGTATATAAGTCTACTGCTATTGCTATTGCTATTGCTATACATACAGGTTCTAATCCCTTACTGGGATTAGAACCTGTATATATTAGAACATATGTATGTATGTATGTATGTATGTATGTATGTATGTATGTATGTATGTGTATATATATATATACCTCCACCCACAACTCTATCCAGATGACACCCTCCCACCATCACCAATCACCATAGCCCACATCCTCAGCCACACACCCCTCAGTGTCATCATAGCCTCTTTCCTGGTTAGCCACATCCGAGCAAAAGAGTTACATCAGAGTAGGCAGTTACACCCGAGTAGAAGAGCCACATCAGAACATCAGAGAGGCAACATCAACGTGGCAGTGTTAGTGGCATGTAAGCATGGCCTAGCAGGCATGGTGATGGACAGGTTCCCCCTGGATGGCAGCCTGAGGGCTGACAACAGGCATCAAAACAAGAACCATGTTGGATTTTCAGGTGGCTTCAAGGTGAAATTAAAAAAAAGTTCTCCATAGACTTGTTGCCTCATGATAGAATCTTGTAACCTTTCCTACTGGCATATTGTCACACATATGCTCCAAAAAGGCATTTTGAAACATTGACATTAGGATACTGCTTTTTACGTTCTAATTAAAGCAGCAAATTTCTGTGAACACTGTTGGTATCAGGTCAAAGTGGACAGTGAATCAGATTCACAGTTCTAGGCATTTATAATATAAAGAGTTATTTTGCCTCAAAATGCTAACAAAAAGAAGATTACTATACTATCTAATCAGACAAAGAATCTGTCCTGATTTCCAAGTGTCCCAATTGTGATTACTAAAATACATTGTAAAAGATTGTAACTTTACTGTCTTTTACATTGTAAGTGGAAAGATTCAGTGTGGCACAGTGATTAAAGTATCAGGCTAGAAGCCAGGAATCTGTGAGTTCTGGTTCCACCTTAGGCACAAAGGTCGACTGAGTGATTTTAGGTCAATTGTATCTCTCAGTCCTTGAAGATAGCCATGACAAGTTACTTCTGAAAATTAGGCAGGAAAATTACAAGAGGCTTGTAGAGGGCAAGAGTCAAAACATTGATTTGAAAGAACCAATGTATTGGTGTAAGTAAGAATGGATGTTTTCACCAATTCCTGATATTTACTAAGTTCATTATGCTAGTTTCCACTGATGAATTCAATATGATGTAGTACTGAAAATATTGAACTTGAACTGGATGGATACAGGTTTAAGGTCACCTCCGACTTGAAGGTTCTCTGCATGTTTAGACAATCTTTCTTTCTCTAAATACACACCAATCTCTTGTTCAAAAAGTTTGGTATCAATAAATCAATAAATAAGAACTACTAATTAACAAAATAAATGAAGTGAGCTTCTATTAGATCTAATGACATCCCCCACCCCCCTAATCCAGCCAGTTTATAATTTAGATTCCTATTTTCCAGTCTGGTGCTACATTACTGCAATGTCCTCGCCAATCCTTAATATGTTCCATTGTTGTAAGCCGCCCTGAGTCCCCTCAGGGAAAAGGGCGGCATATAAATGCTCAATAAAATCCAAATCCAAATCCAAATATGTTAGTTTGTAAAAGAAGATAAAATTGTTCCCCTGTCCCCAAGGTTTTCTGCCTGTAAATGAGCAGTCCCCAATCTTTTGGGTGCTAGTGACTGGTTTCATGGAGGATGCTTTTTCTGTGGATNTGTGTGTGTGTGTGTGTGTGTGTGTGTGTGTGTGTAAAATTTATATGTGTTCAACTTAAGCTCATCCCTATAAATTTCAGTGAAAAACCATTAAAATGCAAATTGAATGGTGTTGTCTCAATAATTATAAAATTCAATTGACAACTCTCCCTCGCCAAATGTTTTTATGAACTAAAATCCTTGAGTGTGATATTTGATGGAATTGCACTGAATATCTTTTTGAATTTGTTTGCTTCATCAAATCAACATCCTACAACTTGATAGGGATTTATAACCTGTAGCTGATAATAAATATTGGTATCCAAATGTATATTGTCATCTTATTTCTTTATTTAAAAGACCCCATATTGCACATACTGTCCATTTACTAACAAGATTTCCACAAGGGGTACAATAAATTTCAATGCACAGTGAAAATGAAAAAAGTCTCCATTTTACAGGGTAAAGCAAGCATATTTCCTACCATCCTAAAAAGATTGTACTTCCTATTACAATTTAAATCTAATATACATGAGTCCTGACATCATGAAAGGGCATCAGTGATAACAAACTTATAGTGAGATCTTCCTGTATTTTTCAAAGTTTTATCTTCTTCAGGCAGAATGGTTAAATCTTCTTAATATATTATATACCTGGGCACACATTAAACACAAATCCTTTGAAACTTTACAAGTGGACAGAAAATTGAGCTGGCAAATATTCCATTGGTTGCAAGCTCCATCCCTCTGGTGCAGTGTATCTTATTCCTCTTTAAATTATCACAATTAATTCTAAGTGTGCATCAATCTTTATAAAGTAGGATACATTCATCTTATCCCCCATTGCCTATTTTAGTGTTATATATTCTTTGCTTTGGTGATGCTTTGGTGATCACCAATTCTAGCAATGGCCCCTGAAGGTCCCTAATGCCATTATTTTTTTTCTCAAATTAATTAAAGAAAGAGTTAAATTGATCTATTTCTCCGTCACTGTTGTCAATAATGCACCATATGTTAACTGAATCATAAATTGGAGGAATTGTAACAGAAAGCCCACCTTTTCCAGATCACACTCAGTCATGGCTCTTTGTAAATCTTTGTAAACAATTAACTAAAAGGTAAATTTTATTTCTTAGGCAAGGCATGGAAAAGTTGCCAGATTATTAAAAACTGGAACTTTGTTTGGCAGTCTTAATTCCAGCATGAATATAAATTCTAAGCCTTGGATTTTTCTTGAACTGCCACGACATATTATGAACAAAAATAGCTTCAAACAAGCCTATTTTCACAATGGAGAGAATCACTCTTCTATAATTTTAGGGAATTTTAATTATCTGAACATAATTATTTGGGGATTTCCAAGCCAAATAGAAAAAAAAGGTAGTAAGTACCTTCTCTGTACAGACATCACAGGTTGGACTTTAATTCAAAGAAAATTGCAATTTTGGAGTTGAAAACTTAAATATTTTAAACACCATATTTTATTAATGATCTCTAAGTTTTACAACACCATAGGCTTATTCTTCTTAGAGACTCCTCCAAGTCCAGGAAAGATAAGAGCTAACAATAATAAAATACAAACTGGCTTAATAGAATATGGACATCTGTGCGGAGAATCAGTGAAAACCAAACAAGGGTACTAGTGTAATGCTGTCAACAAACAATTGCTGTGACTGACATTAAGTGTAGCGATAGAAATAAGTAATGTTGGCATTGCCATGAGGATGTAGTTGTGCATGAGACATTATTTTGATGCCATAGAATCTTGTGGGTTATGTAGTCANGCAGCCCGATTCCTGTTGGACCACAGACTGGCAGTGGTCTACAGCCAGGGGGTTCCCCTGCTGTAAAGGATGAATATTCCAGATTTTATTGGGGTGGGGGAGAGGAGAAATGGGGGGGAAAACTATGTTAAAAATAAATATAAGTTATCTTTCATAAGAGAAAAGATTCTGTCCCTAATTCAACATCGTTGAATATACAGGAATTTGAACTCAGACTTGTAAGTAGTAAGCAATGTTTACCTAAATAGACAAATATGTCCAATTTACTTTCACCTTCGATTATTTTTTTTAAAAAACCATGATTTTTTTATCTTATTTATTTAAAAAATAGCTTGTGTTTATTACCCTATTAGAATGCCCCATTTATTTACTTTAAAAATAAGGTATGCTACTATATCAAACCAAACAATCAAACCAAAATCTTAATAATCAAATACTTTACCTGCAAAACAGCTTAAGAACGAAAGCAGAAGTACGAGTTTCCATAGCAACATCATCTCCAATTTCCAAGGTCAAAAATTCCTCCCATCCAATCATCTGAGAAAGATGTAGGACTATGTCAATCTTTCTGATAATGTTTTATAAGCTGTAAAATAAAGTTATTGATTCAGAATATATGCAAATATTCATGTGACATTGTTTGATTTAATTTTTAATTTGATCATTTTTAAACTATTCAGTATCTATTGACATCTCAACTTATGTTTCCAATGCTTTTTTTCCTCGTAGCTAGCCATGCAACATATATTAATGATCAACAGATACAAATTGAAATAATTTGCTACTTGCTCGAATTGAATTTCACTAGCATTTATATGTCCAGACCTCTTATTGGCACTTTGACTTATGCTCAAATCATTTGAAAGAGCACCAAAGTATATATTATATTGTCATTGGAAGTTCGTAGTTGTGTTTCTAGAAACACACATTATATAATTCACCATACAACATAATACATATATTATTCAAGTTTACAAAATTTCTTTAAAAATATAAATGGAATTCTAGGCTATGTCATTCAGATACAGATTACAGCTTTGGTATGAAAAACATAAAGATAAATAAAAAAATGGCTCTGGTTAAAACCAATTGGTCCAATAGCAGAAATAACAAATGATAAAATATATTTTAGCAAGAGAATAAAGAAAAATTGGGAAAGCTACCGTAGTTGTAGAAACTTTGAAACAACACCACATTTTCTTCCATATATACATGTATTCTCTATAGAACTATATATTCAATAGGACAAGATTATCTCAAAGGACCTAAGGCTTCTGGTTTAATATGTGAATTGAAATAAAATCCTTTATTTTTAACTCCTTTTAAAATTGTGATACCTTTACAAAACACATTGAAGTATCCCGAAGGATAATGCTATGTGGAAATCCAGTCAGTTCAGCATTTGCATCTCTTAAAAATAAAAAGTGTATAACTGTACACATCTAAATCTCTTTGCCGAAAATAAAAATGAGTAACACAAAAACAAGTAGCCTTTTTTTTGATTGCCAGCTATATAAGTGGATAAGGTCCCCCAATGTTTTTGTTGCTGTGTTCCTGTTTTTAAACAATTGAAATATTTATTCTGAAAAGGAAACTTGGTTGAAAGATATTTTCTTTTGAATATTGAATGGTTAAACAAGATATCCTCATTCCTAACCCCATTGATACCTAAAAACAATGCAACAATAACACTTTTATATGATTCTGCAGAGATTCTGTCATCCAGGTCATGGTTGTCCCAAAGGTGCTTTTTCTTGCTATTTCTTTGAAGATATTTTGCTTCTTATCCAAGAAGCTCCTTCAGCTCTGACAGGATAGTGGGGAATGGAAGGATTTGCATCCTTTTAGAGGGTCGTTGAAGCGCTTGGAGGTTTATCTGTATTCTCAGGGTCATCTCTGGGTCAGCACTACTCAAGCTTCTTGAATGAGAAGTTAAATGTCTTCAAAGAAAAAGGAAGAAAGTCCAGTTGCCTCTAGAAAAAAGCACCTTCAGGACACTTTTACATGATGCATCATCTTCTAAAGACAATCCATTTTGCAAGAATTTCTGCCACCTTTTGTGCACTCCCTTCATTACAGAAGAGAAGACGATCCTCTTCCCTGGTGGACCCTTTTATTCATGGGTGGATATGCTTTTGATTTATTCTAGTTGGATGATGCATGAAAATACTGGGGGTGCAGTGAAATTGGCATAGTGTATACCATTCTAGTCCATTCGAGCCTTTTCTGTAGCAGCTCCGACCCTTTGGAACGATCTCCCCGTGGAGATTCGTACCCTCACCACCCTTCAGACCTTCNTGTAAGATTGAGAGTATCTTGGCAATGTTTCGACGAGGTCCTACTCACCATCTTCAGGCTGGTGCCTTTGGCTTCGTGCTTGTGCAAGCAAAGCATGATCGGAGCTGCTGTCTTTCTATAAATATGGGTGGGGTGTGTGGAGTGTTGGCTTTGTTGCTGTAACACAGCTAGTACCTCAGCCACAAAGGATGTTATGAAACAGCCAACTAATCTGCATACATCAACTCCATCAACTAATCAAGATGTAAAAACACAGCCAACCAACCCATTTACAGCAACAAAGCCAGCACTCCACATACACCCACCAATATTTATAGAAAGACGGCAGCTCCGATCGCCTAAACCTAAAAATTAACCTATTTTAATTGGAGTTTTAAAATTTTTGAAATAGGATGGGAAGCAAGTTGGAAGAATTCAATTGGTGTGCAAAGTAGGAGGAAATGTGGGGTCATGAGAAAGAAAAGTTTCAAAGAAATTATCTGAATTGGCTTGCTAAACATTTGATAGAGAAATTATTCTCACAGTTTTCGAAATCATGTTTTCACCTTGACTAATATTAAAGATGTTGACTTCCAAGTATGCCACGATTTACAAAAAATGTACTTGGCAGGAGACAGATACTTAGAAATGATGCAAACATTTTGCCTAGCAACCAAGTGCAATAGAAGGGCTCTCCATGTACATATATAATGTAGTCAAGCTTAGTCTGATCTGCTTTGACGATTTACTTTGAAAACTATAATCACAACTTGGTTGTTGTCTACATCCATTGAAATTTTCCAAGTGTTCAACAGACTGAATTCAACATGGTTGTTCCAAAATTGTATTAGCAGAGCCATCTAACCCAAAATCTTAAAAAAACCACTATGGAGAGACATGCTTACTACCTAAGTCAAAGATAAGAATTTTAATAATGATAATAGCTATCAGAAAGCATACTGTTGCATTTCCATTTTGGAGAAGGGTTATTTTATTGTTTACAAAATCTAGATTTTTACAAGAAAATATTGCTGCTTTCAAATTGCAGGCAGCACAGTTCTCTGTCTCTCTGTGTCATGTGTGTGTGTGTGTGTGTGTGTGTGTGTGTGTGTGTAAAATTTATATGTGTTCAACTTAAGCTCATCCCTATAAAT